GGGGGGGGGTGAGTAGTCGGGAAGGTCCTTTTGAATATCACTTGAATATTAGAACACAGCAAAATATCGTTGAGTAAAGATGGGAAGAACAGTTCTTTTCTTGATGTTAAATGTATGAAATTGGAAGTGTTGTCTCGCCGCCACGAAGTTACCGGAAGCGAGACTAAGATGTTGCGTTTCCGGCGACGGCGGCGTCAACATTAAGTTTTTGCGTTTAAGTTAGTTTCACTGAAAGTATAAGTGCTAGACCAAACAAACTTGGACTATAGATGCATCTTAGGTAGTACATCTCAACCCTAGCATGAAATGCTGGATACAGCTTACCCTCCATAGATGCATTGATGGTCAAAGCGGGGCACGGGCCAAACATATCAATCCGAATGGCTTGTTTTAATTTTGAAATACCATTGCCAGTGCTTGGTGTTGATATTGGGTTTCCTATAGCTCCGGGTGTTCAGCACGTTCATATAAACCTTTTATAAGAGTCAAATGGAGCACGAAAAATATATACATTGTAATATTATTAGTTCAGAGGAGCAACCCAATAACGATTTTAAGGAAAATGCAGATTAAACATTTGTTTAAGATAAGGAAATCGATCAGTGGATGATGAATTGAACAGTGCACAAAATAGACTTAAAGTTTATTTGGGAGAAAGATAACGCTGTAGATAAGGAGATATTTATATATGATTTGATTCACAGTGTTATTTGAGTAAGCCAACAGCGAGAGATTATCTCAAGGGAAACACACACAAAATCGATTGTTTCATCAGTATTTAAATATTGACAAATGATGTTATCCAACTATAGACAGGATACGAGGTATTGGGAATTATAGAAATAAACGATATTTTAGGTCAATTTCATCTTATGCTCAAATGTCCATATTTTGTTTACCGATATCTACGTCGTATTTGTGGAGACTTTCTACATCAAATATGTATGAATAAAATTGTTATGACTAATAGATGTTTATATTATAAAAGAATATGGCGATATTTATTCAACTTGCAAAATTAAGGAAACTCCGCGATTATTAGATATGCAAGGCCCTGTCTCCTTTACTTCATAATCCAATGTGCTGTAAGCTAAACTGGTCGGGCCCACAGAGGTAAGTTTATGCCAAACCGCGTCATCTGTTTCCCGTTGTCCGTCAACAATTTCATGAAACGCATTGTAACCCTGTTTCGCACGACGCATCATAAGAACCAGAGAATTAAACGTTTCATAAAGGAAGATTGTGATCTTTTTCTCATCATATAATGATCTTACAAGCTGTTTTGAAATCCGATATCTGCGCCTTTGCTCCTGGTTGACTGAGTGGGTTTTCTTCTTCTTGATTTCCATCATACCAATTTTGAAGTCCTTCCGTGTTGTTTCAGACCTGCTGTATCCCGCTGTATGTACTGTTAGCTACTAACATGGAGCCTCCAAAAGAATCAAAGGTTGTCTTCTGCTTATGAGATACCGAATAGACCCAAAATGGCTTCACTGTCCTCTGATTGGCTGAAGCGGGTTTCGACCGATTCTTAATTGCAACAGATCAATCAAACCAAACGTGTTCTAAATGTTTCTGCCACAGCTTCTAACAACTGTTGTTATTTTGATAGTTTTGGTAAGAAGAAATCTGGTAGTGCCATAATGGTCCGAAGTTAGTAGAAAATTCATGTCTAATTCAAATAGGTAAAAGAAACAACCGAATGACACATGCCCAATGGGCCTCTTGGTATGCACTGAAAGTATTTGTAATATCCTAATTTACAATGCGAGTATCGAGTTCAGTTAAGGTTTGGTTTTATGAAAATTTCTATGATATGGGGTGGGGAAGGGGTAAATTGTGTCGCACCTGTTAACAGAAATTTAAAATAATAATATTGATTTTTTTAATCCGAATGAACGTTTATTTCATTATTTATTTATGTGTGTATGTGAGAGAAAAAAAATAAAATACATAATTATATTCTGGAACTCGCACTTAGTCTGTATAATACTGTATGTTATATGGATTTCTTTCTATTAACATGAGCAACAGTAAGACTGAACGAATTCTTTTTGCTCTGAACTAATTCACAAATTAGGGTTAAACTGTATAGATATAAATCGTAAACGATCGTTCCGGCTGAGTCCACATATAGAAGACGCGTGTGACATCATCGTATTAAATAAAACAGAAACATTGGATGTCCATTCAGAACTGATTAAATACTTAGAAATATAACTAACTATACAGTCACATTTGTATAGCCTACGTTATATCAAAACGTTATGTTACCATTGCCCCGTTCAGGTTCACCGAGGCGTGATCAGGGCTCGGTGTTCCAGGTTTAGTTAGCTTACCGAGTCGTTATCGCACATTTTCAAATCCTCTTTTTGCAGAATACCTTAAAATTTTCGAATATATGAGAATTTTTTGCCGTTAAAAGACATGCTGAATCCCTACACAATTAATTTTAATTTTAAATATCCTTATTTTTGAATGTATTAAAAGTTGTGTTAAATTATCATTAAACTTACCAGGCTTTGTATACAATCGGTCCCTTATATCAATTGAGTTTCTTTATTTACTAGTTACGATCGACTATTTATTTGCGATCACAATAGTTGGGTATTGAGTGCTCTCGTGTCTTAGGGTCAACATATAGGATTTACCAATACTTGTTCTCTTAGCGCTGTCACTGTACATTACCACAGATCCCGTACGGTATTTAGCTCCATATTTACATCAGAATAGATTACAAATATTATATGACACCAAACGAACGATATATGTGTCCTGATGTCAATAAGTTATTTGAAAAGTTCCTCGGATTACATATTGTCATATGTATATCGATAATCGGAAAAAAATCAAATATTTGTATTTGTGTATACTTTCAGTTACGCGTTATATAAATAATGAAAATAACTTATTTAAAGTAAACATCCCTAAAGTAGTTATAAATGTAATCACAAAAAGTCCCCATTGAACCCCATCTAGCAATGATTTTGTTTGTATGTGAATTAAAAAATACAAAACGGTTAGAGATAAACTTGGGAAGTCATCCAAAAATATCTTGTCTGTGTCTGTGTCCATACGATACTGAGGAGTCGTTAAAGTACATGCATGAGTATTTATTTCCTGTTGAAAAGTGCAGCTAATAGTTTTTGTCGTTTTGGTTTTGAAGAAACACTGGTGTGCAAAATGCAAAATATAAGCGAACTAGCTGCGGTGCATCACTTTTGAGTGCTTATTTGAGCACAGGTACAGTGTCTAGCCTCGCCTGTCAATACAGTATGGGTGCATTGACAGAAGAGGCTATAGTACCTGTGATTTGAGATCGTCACGCGCTTCTGTTCCGGCGCGTCCGATGTTCCATATTTTGTTTAACTGCATTTTTTTAAAGTTATATTTGTTGATTTTTTTTGTTAAAATATTTTTCAAACATTTTCGGATGGAAAGAAACAATTGGCATATGATGCGTGAGCAATAGAACATTGCAAACAACGGTAAAAAAATAAATGTGATCTTATATTCGGGATGATATCAATCTTCTAACTATTGCTCTTGGTCTAGTTCTTGCTATTATTTATTTTTGTTTCATTTTTGATGATTGTAATTGGATATTGTTTTGACGTTATTGTAATTTTTTAATACATTTTTAATTATCAAAACGTAACTGAGTCGGTAATGACTACAAAACCAGTTCGCTTGAACTACATGAGAAATAACCTATTAAGGAAATTAATTATTGATTTTGAAATTATAATTATTTTCAAGATTACAAATCACTGAACAAATTGTAATACTGCGTTGTGATCTGTTACTTCACAAACGGAAGACGCCATCACGTATGTTGATCGGCGTGCTCAAGAGCTTCATATACAGTTGTGTGTACATGTGGGAAGGTTTGATTGTGTAAGGAATTGTCAGCAGCTAATCAGCTGAACGGAACTAGTGGGGTGTGTGACCCGAAACGAATGGCAATTAACAGGTAAACTACCTGTATAGATCTATACACCTCGCGATTATACCCAGACATATACAGTTCATGTGTGTCTTGTCTTTGTGGTAAAATACGAACCATTTGATCTGGACTTAATGCTTTTTGATCTAATCAACAGTAGGAATATAATTTGTATTGAGTTTCGAGTTACTACTTTCTCGGCTGATGACACGAGATGACATATTGTCTGTATACACGGGTAGTGATAATCTTGTAGCGTAAACAGTTCTGGTAGTAAACACGGCTGTGTCAGACAGATGCTTGGATGTGTACAGAACATGGGTTTGTGGACATGACGCCTACAGAATGTTATGGGTATGTAAATTATTGTACAACATTTCTTATTATTATGATAGTGATATCGATGTGACGTATTATTTAACTACTGCTACCTGCGAACAAATAAGGGGTAAGGATCAGGTAAATATCAAGGTAAACAACTACAGTATAGGTAATATGTTTATGTTTACGTATACTGTCACTATGGTATGACGGTCATGTTCAAGACCGGTGTTATCACGGGTGTTATGTCAAGACCGATGTTATCACAGGTGTTATGACAAGACTGATGTTATCACAGGTGTTATGTCAAGACCGGTGTTATCACAGGTGTTATGTCAAGACCGGTGTTATCACAGGTGTTATGTCAAGACCGATGTTATCACAG